TATATATATATATATATGCGATTAAACTGTACATTCCATTCAATTATAGTTAAAAAATAAAATATTATTATGTTTCTGCCGATACGCTGCTTTTGAGAACGTGTTTATTCATGTATACATGTTTTAAACTTCTGTTCATAAGGATAGACCGAAAATGTAATTATTATGATACTTGATCGTAGGACTGATGAAAATGGAATGTAAACGCCGTAGGCTAAATGTTTGCAAGCAACCACCGTCATTTGGCAATGTGCCAGGCCAATTGAAATCAACCTGTTAGTTTTTGGGTCTACTGCAATGAGCTCACTAACATTTAGGCTAGATAGAGAATCCGTTGTTTAATTATGCTGATTTATTTTAACTGTTTGCAATAAGTTCACAGTAATTAGCTTATTGCAATGATTTGAGTGAAGATAAAGCTTATTAAAATGAAATCAAACAAAAAGAACAAGTTAAAATCAAAACTAGCCTCTGGCCTGATCATTGCAATAAGCGTAAGTAAATTAAGGCTGGGTAATTCTTTACATATTCTATAATTAGCTTGAAGGTTTGACTTGTAATAAGCTTCAAAAAGATCTAATGAAATAGAAAATATTAGAAGTTTTTTCAAACAACCTGACGACTTGCAAAAGTCGATATATTTTAATTAGCTTTCGGTACACATATTAATTCTGAGTGATCCATCTTAATGTGAGAAAAAAGAACTAAGTTCAGGAAAACTATAGTCTGACTCATTTGAAAAGAAGTTGTCATGAAAGGGAAAGTATTTCAATTGTGTAGAATTCAAAACGCTCTTAAAAAGCAATAAATTCTATCTTAATGAAAGGAATAAAAAAATTTCAATTTTTTTCTCAATATTTTCTTAGAAGTAATCCGCTAATCCTTCTCTCCTCAAATTTTTTTGCCCAAGATAATGAAGGGATTATTTCCTAATATGCAAATCATCTCTATTTTTTTTTAAAGTTGCATCAATGTGTTTTATTTCCTTTTTCTAATCTTATAAATTAGATGACAAAACTATGGGTTTTAAATCACAATCGAAGGATACTTTATTTTTTTTAATTCCAACATGTGTTCATTCTTTCAAATCATCACCTAGATTTGTTTTTTATTTTTTATCATTTGAAATGCTTTTCTATTTTTTCTGATTCTTTTTATCTAATTGGATAACTTGTCTGTGGTTTAAGCATTGACGCAAAGTTTCAAAATTGTCTTACAATGTTGCTAAGTTAAATTGCTTTTCTAAAGTTAACGTACTTTTGTATCTGTTACGGTTGAAAACAAGTAAAGGTAAACACTTGATTTATAGCGAACGTCCGAAATATTTGTTAAATGTCATCAAATGCCATTATGACAAGCAGTAATGATGAATGTTAAATAAAATTGTTTTATTAAATGTCAGTATTTTGCACTCACTCTGGAAAATACCGATATTCAGCTTGCACTTATATTTAAAATGGAAAATAATAATAGAAGTTTTTATTCAATTCTAGGGGGCTTCACCCCCTAGAAAGTGTGTTGGTGAGCAGGTGTTCCATCCCCTGATCACCAACGTACTGGAACCTTCAAATATTTCAGAACAATTCCTCAGATCTATATTCATTTGTAAGAACAGTCCGTTAAGATTAATATTAATAATTGACTCATTAATAAGAATTTAACTGTACTAATAATTCTTTATTTATTCATTCTTTTTTACGGAAAAGTCATTCAATAAAATAAAAAAATTATTTTTTAGGTATGACTGTGATGACTATGACTGCGACGGACTACGACGACCCTAATGAGGGTATGAATGCTCGTTTGAAGTACTCTATAGAGCAGAATCAAGTCAACGAAAACGGAGAACTCATCTTTACGATAGACGAAGAGACAGGTGTCATCTCAACTGCCGTTTGCTGTCTCGACAGGGAGACGAACCCCGAATACACAATCAAAGTGGTTGCCATGGATGGCGGGGGTCTCAAAGGTACTTCAACCATTCTATAGAACATTTTATTAAGTATGGAAATTATAAAGATGTCCAACCTATTTGGGCTGAACTAGATCAAATTACTTTTACCAATTCGAATGTTTGCATTTTCTGGTTGCTAATGGCAACAATGTATTTTCCTCATTCACTCCAGTTGCTATTGGCAACCAATTACTTAATTGGTTACCAATTGAAACACATGATACAAATACACAGAACATTTTTTTTTAAAAATGGCAGATAATAGAGATGTCTAACCTATTGAGATGAACTAGATCAGATGACCTTTACCAATCCATTATCTCTTCGCATTTCTAATGAGAACATTACAGTTTCCTCTGTCCCTCTTGTTGCTCTATCCAGAAATGATTGTGCTCCGGAAAAAAAATCCGGATTTCTGGATATTTCGCTAACCGCGATCCGGAAGTTTCCTGAAATCCAAGGTCCAGAAGTTTCAAGAAATCATCGATCACATTTATGTGTAAAAATTATTTGTATATTTTATTCAAAAATATTAGAACTAGAATTTATACTAGGCATCTCTTTCGTTTGTAAATATTTTTTCTGGTAGAATAATAAATTTGATTAGAGGTAAAAGTAAACTTAGACATAATTATTTATTCAAATTATGCTGCGCATAATTTATTTAGAATTTCATGTTTTGAAAATATCAATGATTTAAGTTTATAAAGACATTAATTTTTTGAAAAGCGTCATTAATGATTTTACTCAAAAATTTTTTTTTAATATTTTTGAGTTGGGCTCACAATTATCCCTGTCTATCAATTAATCAATTGGTTTATGATTTTAAGTTAGATATTTTAAGCTGACTTGAGCTTGGACATCTGTGTAATCTCTTTCATTAAATTTCCTCAGCAGAGTTTCATTTTTTTAACACAGGTTATAATAATTGCTGATGAATTTAATGGTGGTAAAAAATAATGTACCAAAAACCGTTGTATGTTTTGTAGGTACGGGTACAGCGACTATAAAGATCAAGGATATCAACGACATGCCCCCAGAATTCACTAAAAAAGAGTGGCAGGTGGAGGTGGATGAAACAGAAGGTGATAATATTCCAGAAACTCCCATCCTCGTGGTATCTGTGAACGACGGAGATCTCTTAGAGACGAATCGTTTCAGTTATAAAGTTATCGACAATGCTTTCGGCGCTGATAAATTCACCATGGTAACCAACTCAGACGGTACAGGATCTCTCAAAATTGCAAAGGTAAACTCAATACTCAAAATATATATTAAATTTTTTAAATCTTTTTCAGTTAACTTATTCATCCATGTATTTTTTGAATTTGCATCCGAATTAAATAGTGCGTTGATTAAGGGTAGACAACTTAATCCGAATTTGTTCGGTGCAGTTGTGTCTGAAAGCAAAAAAATTGTATTTGAACACAAAGTACATACGAGTCATATAAAAATGGAATTTTCAAAGTCAATTCCTACTTAGAATCAACAAAGAAAAAATTTATTTTAGTTACTTTTTATTAAATAATTGAAAAACTTTCTCCCATATTAAACTAAAATTAATTAATTAAATTTAATTAATGAACTAATATTTGAAAAAACCTGTACTAACATCAAGTGTCATTCACAACAAGTTTAAAAAAATGTATTTGAACTTGAATGAATAAATAAGAAGTATTTTATTAAAGGATAAAAATTTCAACAAGATATATAAATACATATAGGGGTAGTGTTAACTATTAGTAGGAATTGGAAAGAAAAGGCGCGTGGTATTAGACAACTATAAAAGTATAAATTGGGTGGCGTGGACCACCGTGCTACCGCGTAATGTTCTTTATTGAATTTAGCTGACACAATAAATATAAAATACTCAACGACAAATAACGAAATAACACAACGAATAAATATTTAAATGTACTCAATAAACCATTTTTTTTTTTTTTTGTTCAAATAGAGCTATAAGTTAGAAATGATCGCTGATGTTATTTTTAAAATATGTTAAAAACTGAATCGCACGCATTTGAAGAAGAGTCTCAGAGCTCAAATAAATCTTGATAGGCTAAATTAAGCCTTACCTATTGAAACGCAGTGCTGTAAGCGAAAGCAGAGAGCACGCCGCACTTTACTATACTCAAAAACTGAATCGCTTATAGCGAAATTTAAAACAATGACTGACGCTTAACCCATCAAAACATTTTATTTCGTTTTTCGCTCATCCCTATTTAATTAACGAATTATTATTTGAAAAAACTGTATTAACATCAATTGTCATCCTCGACAAAGTTTAAAAAACTGTATTTGAAATTGAGTGGATAAATAAAAAGTATTTTATTAACGATTGAAAATTTAGAACAAGATTTAGGGAGAGTGTGAACTAATAGAAGGAATTTAAAAAGAGGATAGTTTTGTTTATGTTTTGCTTCTTTTTGACGCCTGTCCAAAAGTTTCTTAACAGAGCGACTCTACCTTATAACGGAAAAACCAACGCTAGTACTTCACAAAAGTTGCATTTACCTTGTTTTGTAATTGCTTTTCAGTACAGGAGTGAGTGATAGGAAGTAGAAGGGATTGAAAAAGGCGATAATTCTGTTTACAATCTCAGTTGGAAACATCGTCTCTTTTTCAAAACAAATATTTTTATTCAAAAAATTAGAAAGATTATCCAATAGGAACTTTTCTCCACTAAGCTAGTGTATGAATTTTTATTGTAGCCTTATAAGGATGTTTACCCACAGTAACTTTATAAGAATGTTTACCCACTAGTACATAGTAAAATTCATGAATTTGTTTTTCCTCATCACTTTTCAAATTTAACCTGTAAGAAAAATTATAAATAAATTAGTGATACAATCAGTGTCTGATGTATTATGGGTGGATTATAACAGATATCCAGCAATGGCTGGTAGATACGAATTCCGCACCCGGCTCGCACCGACCACAGTGCTGACGTAAAATATTCTCAATGGTAGATGAATCATGGGTTAGAGTCCCTTTTCTGTCAAGATAACCGTGGGGGGTCTGGTGGTTGTCCTCACACATGTAAAGCAAATGTGGGGGATAGTTCCATCAAAAAAAGTCCTCAGCGAAAACGAATTTCACCTAATATTCGGTTGTTATAAAATAATTTAAATAAAATGTTCTTTTACTGGAATCCTGACATTATCAATAAAATATATGAAAACAATTGTGATTATGCTAAACAAACGATGAAGGGCTGCTAATTGTTTTGAAAATATTTGTTTAGGGGAATATTTTTTTTTAATTACTTATTATTTTTTTACTATTTTTTTTATTATCATTAACAATTTTAAAATTAAATTGTGTCCGCCATTTGAATAATTCGCAGTCCTGAAACGGCACCTAGTCTAGTTCTGAACTTGATTTAGGTATTTTGCATAGTGAGAAAATAAATAAAATAAACCGAGTTACGTTTTTCGTTTAGATGAAAATACTTCTAATACGTGAAAATGGTAATTAAGAGAGCATATTTTTTTTTTTATTGACGAATTCAATTACTTTAGTGATTTGAAAAGCGAGATGGGTTTTACTAAGGCAATTCCTTATAAATGCATGTCTTATGGGACAGTTCAAAAAGTACGTACACAAAAATGGAGAAATTTTAAACCCCTCCCCCCCCCTTCGTACATTACCGTACATAAGGTCGTACTCCCCTTAGAGTACGTACATTTTATTAGTCTACCCCCCTTTTTGATAAAAATTAAAATAATTATGTTTTTAATAAAATTAAATATTTATTTAAAATAATTTATTCATTTAAATTATTTAAACAATAACACCCAACGGGGAAATACCACCAATCGGGGAAAGTTTGGTGTTTGCAATTTTTTATTTTGCGAGACAACTGTTTTTGAGAGCTGATTTACTCATTCTAACAAGTGGTCGCCGTGTGAAAAAAAATACAAGAACAAACATATGTATAATACATGTGTAGGAAAAAGTCAAATTTAAATTTGGTGTATGCTTATAATGTACGTACTTTGTATAAAACTTCCCCCCCTCCCCATCATACAAAATAGCAAATCCCCTCACCCCTTCGGGTGTACATACTTTTTGAACGGCCCCTTATTGAATTATGGAACATGCTTGAAAATCCAATAATCAGGATTAAGTGTAAAGAGAAGGGTAATCACAGAAAATTAAAAAAATAGCGAAACTTTTCCTATCTTAAGGTAAGAAGTAGCTAATTGACTACGCAAAATTAAAGTTTCTAATAATATGTACACTTTGGCTACGAATACTTGAATCAAAGAATTGATATAAAAGGGGATATTTTCGTATCCTGATCTGTAGCGCCAACTACAATTGCTAAAGTGCCAAATAGATTTTAAAAATTTCAAATTAAAAAATAAACAAAACATGTAGATGTTTGGGGGTGGCTGCGAGTTATAACTTTCGAGTTGGTCCCTTTCTGTGACGTTTCTTTTTAGTTTTTCACGGGC